TTTCAAGGGCATCTTGGGTCTGAATTGTCACTGCTGTGTGGCACTGGAGGGGAGTTGGGGCCAGCAGCAGCCCTTCCTGGGGTGTAAAGCTTTACTCCAGCCCCATCTCCATCCCCATCCTGTGCTGAAATGGCTCTCAGGGCACAGGAACACCAGGGACTGACCCAAGGAGGCCTCTGCAGGGGCTCCCTCAGCGTTCCCAAACCTCACCCCTTTTCCTGTGTGATACATTGATTCCAGAGATTCACAGAACTCTGATTTCCTTGTTCTTCACATCTCATCCATCACTGATACTTGAAAACACAGAGCATTTCCCATACAGTCCTCCTTGTTCTCTTACTTGTAAATGGAACTTAAATCCAAGATCCTAAATCACACAACAACATGCACTGCGAGGAGGGCTTCACAGCAGTTTAATTGGAATTCAGAAATGGAACTTCTTAATTAATAAAATGTGGAAAAGGATAGCAGMACCAATGCAGCAACCCCCTGCTACTCCCTTTGATATTAAATTCCTTTGGCTTTATGACACCTCCAGGTGCTCAGCTGATGTGCTGGATGCAGAGAGCGGGAGGACAGAGGCTGCAGAAAGAAAACTGGAGATTGTTCTGGGAGCACAGAGCTTTTGGGGGGACAGTGCCACACAACCCCCCTGCCAACACAGTTCTGTAAAAGTCATCAAAAAGCTCAGTGCTCACTCAGGTAAGTTTGCATAAGTATATATATGTATATATTTTTTAAGCATATATAACTATATTCTGAATATTTTTGAGGACAAAATATGTTCTGAGACAAGTTTTAAGCTGATGAATGCTCAAGTGGAGGATGCTGCCACCATGGAAAGGTGAGATACATTCATTGTCTGTGATTACAAGAAGATGGGCTTAGAAAGGTCACTGTAACCTGATTGGCAGGACACAATGTCACAATGTCCTCAGCTGATCCTGGACATCTCTGTCATTTGGGGAGGGCTCTCCTCTCCCTGCTGACCGCGTTTTGGCTCCTTCATGTTTTTATGGCAGTGCCAGCAAACACAGGTACTTCTGTGCCTGAATTCAGGCATTCAAATACTGCAAGYCTCTTAACAATTACCGAAGAGCAAACACAAATACATTCTCACTTCAAGAAATCTCCTTCAAATTAATTTAAACTCTTCTAAGCYGTAATATCTGAACCCCAAATATTACAAAATTAAACAGCTGTTAAAAAACTGAAACCCAAACCAGAACTTGCAAAAATCCCCAGTTATGTCAGGGCAGGATGAAACACCCAGGAAAGCATAAGCAGTTACAGCCTGGCTTTATCTTTTTTCAGCCTATCAGCACTAAGTCAGGGTATCTCCTGCAACCTGACTGAAGTCAGCAGTTAAGCACTGGCAGCAAAAGGCCTGCTGATGTGGCAGGGAAATGTTGAATTACCACCTTGAATCTGGCCAGGACAGACTGTACTCACTGCTCTCCTGCAGCACCGTTACAAGTTATCAGTAAGGATCCAGCCGAGGTAGACCTTGACACTGGACCCAGGGACCTCAGCCTCCCTCGTGGCTGGAAATCTCCCAGTCCACAAGCCAAGAATCCATTTTAGCGCAGTATTTTAAAAGGCTGGAGATGGCAAAGGACAATACTGTCAGGGTAGCTCTGAATTTCTTTGCTTTCATGGGTAGAAACCAAGCTCTAAGTTCTTTTTAGTAGCTTGTTATTACAGCTTTTGCAACCTGAAGACAGACTACTGCCTTTAATTCATCAGTAATTTCAACAGTTAATCAGAAAATGTCATTAACTAGAAAAAGTCTGCAGCTCCAAATAAAGAACATTGGAGTTAAATTTAAATTAAAGCATGGTCAGAAATGAATGCAGCCTTTGATCCCCTTTTCATCCAGACTGCACCCTGATGGGCACAGCTGGATAGGAGAGGAATCGTGAGAAGGCAGCAGACTSGCCTGGTAAAAGGATACTGTCAACTCATTAAGTCCTCGAGTTGAGTCAAAAAAAAATATTCACTGGCTTCTTTCAGAACTCTCCTCGTGTTTGCTTCAGTGGCTGTTTCTCGACAGTTTTATTTTTAAAAGAGGCTGATTTTCAGGTGTTTGACTGGAAAACACACCGTTTACATCTGTTTAATCCTCGAAGGGGCTAAGCAGTGTTTCTGTCAGTGGAGCAGAGCCCAACAAAGGCACCCAGCCCTGCCTGCCTGCCTGAAGGTATTTTCCTCAGGGCAGGGACAGGGGCTGGCTCCAAACCCTCCTAGCACAGCCATATATTAAACAAGGCAGGATGTAGCCTCTTCCCAGTTTGAGAGCAATCTGTACTTTTTAGCCTCCCAATGTGACTGTCTGCACTACAGCTTCCCCCCCCCCCCTTTTTTTTCCTTTGTTCTCACACAGCAATGTTGTCCAAACCCTCAGAGATGTCATGCTGACCACAGAAACGGTGACACAGACCCAGGATCCMCATGGAACCCTCCTGCCTTGCCGCTGTCCTCACCTATGCAAGGACTTGGCTGCCTTCCCTCCAAACACAGGAAAACTCCTGCCTCTTTCCCACCTCAGTTTTAGTTGAGGAAATGCCAGTGAATCTCTGTTTTGGACATGCCCTGCCACAGTGCACCCCAGTTCAGGCCGTGGGGCACGGTCCTGGGTCCCTACAGCTTCCCACAAGGCACTGAGCTGCTCCTGGAACGGTGCTAGGTCAGAGGACGTGCAGATTCTCATTTTAGGTGCCCGTGTGCTGTAATGCCTGTAAATGCACCCAGTACAAGCAATGAGTGGAGATTTGCAAACTAAACCATTATTTATGGCCTTTGAAGCTTTCCCTTCTCCAGTTTCTGCCTACTGGGACAGTGTCTGTTTTGTTTGCAATTTCATCTGAAAACGTGCATTTCCATGGAACGTGGTGGTGTGGAGCCAATTCCAGGATTCTCAGCTCCGAGAATGTGTTTAGCCACTGGGAATGCATTTTGGAGGGGTCAGTGGGAGATCTAGTCGGTGGAATGTGGCCAGCAGAGCTCCAGAAAGCTGGGCCACCCCAAGGGGCCAGAGCTCAGTGCCTCATCCCACTCAGAGCTCCTCACCACCCCCTCCTGCAGTCCCCTCTGCCCAAAGCCAGCCCTGGGGATGTTTAATCTGATTAACTGTGGCTTGGGGCACCTGTGCTGACAYGGGGGATGTGGCAAATTGTTATCCCTTGGATCGCATGGGGAAAGCAGGGCATTGCTCAGCACTGGCTTAACACAGGGAGTGTGGTCAAAGCAGTGATGTCAGGAGAAAAGTGGTGTGGAAGGAGCACGTGGTGTATCAGCGCCTGTGCCAGCCAAAATCCCACCAGCAGCGCAGCGAGACTCCTCCAGCAGCAGGGGCCCAAGCCGGAGGGTCCTTCCAGCCAAAACCCAAGTTAAATGGATGGCACTGTGGTGTAAAATCAGATTTACATTTTTAAAGAGTCAAAAAAGACCTGGAAAAGCAGGGAGAGGTGTGTTCACCACCTCTCTGGTAGGAACAGGAGCTCCACGTGGGGAAAGATGGGATGGGATGGGATGGGATGGGATGGGATGGGATGGGATGGGATGGGATGGGATG